CTAACCTGGCGGCGGAGCCTAACACGAGTTGTTCGCGAACAACGAGCCGTTTTGACAACCCTTCTCATGAGCTATTCTCTATCCCTCCCTCCCTCCCTCCCTCTAGTTCTCTCCCCTTCTAGATTGAGTGTGATTTACGAACAAATTCCGATTCAACAAGTACGTAAAAAAATGAAAGTTTAGAGCTTAGATATGTAAATACATGTGAATCTGGTGGTATGTACCCTAGACATAAGTTTCAAATTTTAATTAATAAATTACTCAAGAATATTGAAGCAACTTGCGTTAGTCGCATTCTCATGCTGGCGACAAAATGGTGTCATCGTTATCTAATCCCTCGCCAATAAGAAGTTTCACAAGTCCGATTTTTTTGAAGGAGACCAGCAACCTAGTCCTCATAATTAAAGTATTTAATTTACAATATTATTGCATATTAATTGCGGTCCGTCCATCCACCCTAAATATTTTTTTTATTTATATTGGATTAAATTTGAATATGATTGATGTGTCGTCAACAAATTTTTGTCAACAAATTTTTATCAAGCACGATCTAAATACGTTTTTAGTATGAAATTATTCAAATTCAAGATTATTTTATCCCCGATTTCAATAAATTTATAGTTATACCGACTGCCTGGATAAGATGAACTCAATTGTATCAAAATTGATCTATTTCAATGCTATTCAAGCCCAAATCAAGTTTTTGAAACCTAATTACAGGTTTGGAATTTTATGTGATTGGTCAAAATAAATTTCAAATTTGACATATTTATAGTCGAATTAAGTGTCTCAATGAGATGAATCCAACGAACCCAAGATTATTAAATTCTAAGGTCATTAAGACATTCAAATCTTTAAGGGCCCGTTTGTGACAACTTTAGCTATTTAATAAGTTGTTGCGTAGTAGTTGTGACAGGAAGCTGCTACGCAGAAGCTGGCTTTCATTTTACTTTTTTTGCAGTTCGAAAACAGTTGTATTGCAGCTGTTTCTGGACAAATGATTATTTTGTCTCTATAATGTAATGTTGTTTACAACAGAAATGTTTGTACATAAATATTTCATACTTGAAAGCAAATATTCAGTGCAGAACATCATAAAATAAAAATAAACACCTCACAAAACAGTGAATAGCATGACTATCAAAATTAAGAAAAAACTATTAAAATAACAATTAATAATATAATAATATTATTTTTAAAATGCAGACGTATGTCATGATATAAGCCGTCCTGCAGGGAAACTCTCCACGCCCGATCACTCTCGACGCTCAAATCTTCTAGCCCATTTGTCCCCTTAAAATAGTCACGATTTTTTGTGATTCTCCTTGGACACCTGTAAAATTATCTCCCGTAGTTATATGATTGTCGTGAAGTAAGCAGGGAAAATTATAGTTCGCAATAGTAGTGTAAACCTCTGGAAGTACTGAAAATTCTCGAGCTCATCTTTCTTAACGGCTTAAAAACACATACCCTTAAATATAATACAAGTAAAAATTAATAACAAAAGTAATTCATTAAAGTTTTATTCAGTTGTGAGGTCTCCAATAACTCAGCATATAAACCAACGAATCTGTCACTACAAGAAGACAACAAATCTTATCAAAAATGTTCTTATTTTCTTTTAACCTGTGTAATAACGAGTTCGTGTGTGTCAAATATGCATATCACAAAAAAAGACATCCAGAATAACCTAAGAAACCATAGCACTAAAAAAGAAGAGGAAATTGGTTGACTTCATTAGGATTTTATACGTGACACCAACCAATAACGACATACAAACCATCTAGAAGAACCCATAAATGTCTTATCATAGACCTCTAAAACCCACCAAAAAAATACATGTAATATTTAGGATATATATATTTCCCATGGTTGCCTCATTGGTCATCCAAGTGGGAGAAAAAATACATGCAAAAGGAAAAGTACATATTACTTTTAAATGCATAAGAAACATAAATATATATGACAACTTATACAAGATAAGAAACATAAATATATATGACAACTCGTATAAGATACATATCAATAAACAGTGAATGTTTTCAACAATCATTACAAAAAACAGAAATAAAAACTAATTTCCTCTAATCACCCTCCAACTATAGTATCTATAATTTGTTTCCTCAACTCTATCATCTCGTCTGCACCTTCCGCATCTTGAGTGCAGTTCTCGGGCATATCATTTTTTGCATGTGACAAAGATTGTCCAATATGATATTCATACCCCTCAACAAGGGCATGTGACTGATCCTCATCTGCCTTACAAAAATCAATTTCGTTGCGGGAAGGATGTCGCAAAATATAAATTTGAAGAGTCGTCGTGGCAATCACACTTTGCACATGTTTGAGGAATAGATAAATTGTCATATCACGAAGTACAACTCATTTCTTCTTCCAAACTCTAAATGTCCTCTCGTAAAAAAGAGTATCTTTTATTGAACATTTCTCTCCTACCCCACGTGACATTGCTGACTCTCTCAAAATCAGGTATGTGATATCTAATATCAGTATAGGCTTTTAGATACCCTCGTTATAATGTATACCCAACATCGATCAAATATATTTACCGGATGTGAACAAAATGAATAGTTTTGAAGTAAAAAAAAAAAAAGATGACTAGTTCAGTTTCATGCGAACCTATGAGTGGATGTGGGAGTTGTATTTCCTATTCCGTGTTGAACTTTAAAAATTCGACTTTCATGTGCACTGTCCTCCCAATCGACCATGAAAAATGTGAAGCACATAATGAAGTCACATACAGCCATGACATTCTGTTTCACCTACAACGGGCCAATGAATGTGATCTTATTATTTTGAACACGTGCATCCACATATGTTCCATCGATTGCTCCAATACAATTCTAAAAAGATAAACCAGAGTAAATTAATAATATATATTCATTTAAAAATTGAATGTAATAAATAAAAGAAGTTATCTGAAAATATGACATATCGTGCATCGTGCGAAATCTCTGTAGGGATTCGTTTAAATATAGGATCTGTTGGTTTTATGAATTGTGATGAAAAACTAAAAAGTGCATTCAATCCAATTGAGAACTATCTACAAATTGTTTTGGAAGAGTGTTGGAATGGCTTCATAGCTCTCGTATTGATTCATTCTATGGTAACATGTAAAGGGTTATTGCTAACACCTCTCGTGAAATCATCCTGATGAAGCCATGAAATCCATGATTTATGTATAGTTTCTCTAGCAGATCGGTGAATACCACTTGTGTCATGTGAAACATATTGTTAAACCTCATTGGATGACTCACAAGCAACTCCCCAATCCATTTGTCACCAACGTACGAGGATATCATGCAAGGGAGCGCTCTATGCACAAGTTATAATATTTGTACATCAAACATTGTACAGCTGCAAGTCTCGTTCCACGTCTTTCTTTATTTGCATCCATGTAATTCGATGTCGAAATAGCTAACACAAAAACATCAATGAATCAGCTATAATCATATAATGTTATGAAAAAACCCAACATCAAAATAAAATTAGAGAAGCAAATAGAAAACATAATGATGAAAAATAAAATTGCAAATCAAATTTGACATTGTCCCAATGAAAAAAAGTAAAAAACCAAAAGCAAATAAAAATATCCAGTGCAACAAGAAATGCAAAATGTCCCACAAAAATATAAAAAAAACTAGGTGTCCTTCAAGTGTCACCGTTTGCATGAAAATAACGTAAATAATGAATCATACGGTTTGGGGTTATCGTCATGGAAAAAATCTCTTCGGTTCGGGTATTCAATCAACTTCATAGATAATAGATATAACAACATTTCCTCATAAATTTATGGAGTTGCCTCCATAATACATATGACTAGTTGGACAGAAATTGCTTGTGATGGGTCTGGGTCATCGGTGCATGAAGCCACAAACTGTGAAATATGACTTCTAATAAAAGTAGCTTTTTTTTCAACCAGATGATGCTTTGATCATCTAGTGGATTCAACATCATGGAGGTTCTCGTTGGGGCCTTCATTAGAATCACCTGCGTCATTGGCACGACATGCACCGATGTCATCAAAACTTGACTCACTAGGTGTGCATACATTAATGCAGGTATAGTCAGGTTTTCAGTGATGTCATCAAAACTTGACTCGCTAGGTGTGCATACATTAATGCTCGTTGGCACGACACCACCAAATATACGATTTAACTTCTCTTCCAATTCAGAAACAATGCTACTGTATTTAAAAGTTTTCATAGCTAGCACCACCTACAAAGTGATAGCACATGTTGATGCTTGAAAAATTGACAAAAGAAGTGGATGTTTAAAAAACACTCACCTTCAATCTCTCTGCCCACCACTCCTTTGAAGCAACAATTGTTCTTTTTATCGGATCCCAATCCAAGCGCATGGATCCTCGCTCTATTTTTTTTCCAAATTATCTAATCATTTTAAGTTGGTCCCATTTGTGTTTTTAACTGCAACCTATCGTACTCCATGCTTGTATTGTCCTTGAAATTTTTAATAATATTTTACCATCCCTCTTTGTTGAATTAAGTTGTCAGTTTATTTCTCAATTCGCCCTCCTTCAAAAAAAATGACGCAAAATATTATTTGTTTGTCATTATCCTAAATTGTAGATGAACCGACCCCTTTGGTCTTAATCAATGTGTATACTAGCATGAAAAAAACTAATCAACATTAATATTTGTCATAAAAAAAAATTTAACAATTTTGAGAAAAATAAGAATTTCACAATAGCATCACCACTATCCCTCCAACAACTTGCACAACACCTCCATACCACACAACTACACCAACAAATTACCACACCATACCACTGCCACCACCTCCATACACCAAAGCATCAACAAACCAAAACATCCACAATACCATCGCCACAATCTCAACACATCAAAACATCCACAATACCACCACCACCACATTAGCACACCAGCAAATCCACACACCAACGCACCCACACACCAACACCATGAACACCTCAACTAAAATTCGAGCAACAACATCAACAAAATTTCGTGCAACAACATCAAATAATTACGGCAATAACATCTTTTGCATTTTCAACCACCAACATCTATGTTTCCAATTTGCATATGCAAACATTGTCTTTACAATTGCATTTCCAGCCACTGCCATGTATGTTCTAATTCACATATGCAAACACCACCACCAACCGAACCATTGCTTATAATCAAAACCATCAACATGATGCAACATAAATAAGCAACATGACCTATCAAACATATCATTTCTATTGCCTTTCACTTGCATTTCCAACCACCACCATCTATATTCAAAGTCGCATATGCAAACACCATCACAAAAGCAACCAATGCACATAATCAAAACCATCAACATGATGCAACATAAAAAGGTAAAAATATCTACTAACATATCACACTGAAAACCACCAAAATAAAAAGCTAACAACCACTGAAACCGAAAAGCAAAGGGCTGAAACTACCAAACTGCAAAATCCAAAAACAACCACAATTGAACCATTGCACCCAATTGCAAAAATCAAGACCAACTATTAGATAATGCAGAAAATATTGAAACAGTGGGGAAAGGAAGAAGAGGAACCACCACACAGAGCGCACTATACGCAAAACCACAATACTGAGCCAAGCAAAAGAGATGAGAGAGAGAGGGGGGAGAATATAAAGTTCACCAGAACAACCAACTGAAACCGAAGAAGAGGAACCATCGCACAAAACACAGACTGTGCAAAACCAGCAAACCAAACAAAAGAAAAGAGAGGAGAGGGAAAAAAGAGTGGAAGCTCGCCGCAATAGTGACCCAAAACCACCGAAAGGCAACCAAAAATAAGGGCTAACCACCAGAACCACGGAATTGAGGAAGGCTCAAGAGAGGAGATTTTTAGGGCAAGAGGCATGTCGAGGGAATGAAGGAAGGCAGCGAAGAAAGGAACTAGGGTAATGAAGGAAAAGTATTTGCAAGGAAAGTGAGCCGCTAAGCCGAACCCACAACCCGCATTTTTCATAAAATTAATCAAACTGCAACCGCACCGCTGTAAACAAGCATCGTAGTACGAAACCACACCGCATGGAAATTGTCGCCCCAAATAGACAATAAAAAATCATCTATGATCAAGAGGGATCAATATAGACAGTTCAATCAGATGGTTAGAGAAGTTACTTGTCAAAAGAGTAAAAGTTATTTTCCCAAAAAGCTATAAATAAATTTCTTCTCTTCACCAGAGAAAAGGAAGGAGAAGAAGTTATAGAGAGAAGACTCAACGATAACCACCTACCTCCATAGTCGTAGACCAACGTCGACTACGATCAGTCATCACCACGTGCCACTTTCGACCCCTATTTCCAATCATTATATTCCTAATAAGGTTGTAGCATCGAACACATGTATTGAGGGGGGCTCAAGGCATGACAATAACCCTCGGCTTTTGTAACCGCTGACTACCATCGGTCGACTAAAGGTTGTCAACGACCTTTTCTTGCAATTGTCATAGTCCAAATATAGTTGTTGTCTCTAGCACATGTACTGCAGACCCGACGATAGCCACAAGTCCCTATAGTCATCGGCCATTGTCAGTCCTCGTTGTCGAATACCAGTCGCTGCTAACACTTGTATTTATTTTACGTTGTACAAAGCTAAGTATATTTTTCGATGCAAATCTATAACCCAGTTCTCCCAGTTGCGAGAGGAGTCTCGTGTACTTGGACACTTAAAGTGGATTACTTTCATTAAGTTTGACTCCATGATTTTTTTTTCGGGTTTTTCCACAAAAAAAATCTTAGTGTTTCTCATCTTTCATTTGTGTGTGTGTTAAATATTTGTGCAACACTAAGACGTTAAATAATTACTCTACTGCCGCAAATTTTCCAACAAGCAACAAGTATGACGTAATACCAAAATATCAACTCAGCCGACAAACCTTGATATACCAAAAGAGAAGGTCACGCAAAAAAAGCAAAATTGTTCATGATCAAATTAAAATTCCAACAAGAAGAACAATTTGAACCTAAGAAACATAAAGCACTGTAAAGAAACAATTCCAGACTAAATGTGAGTCGCAATAAAACTAAGTTAAAACCAATATCATTCGGGAATTTTATAAAATTACAAACCTTAGAATGGAAAAAGAAACAAGAAAATGGAGGACTCAATTTCCAGATAAGTAAATAACAGTGAAATCCTTAAACAAAAACTCAGAACAATGCCATCTATTCTATTTCTCCTATAGCTCAAGAACAAGAGAACCATCTCAGCTTTAGATTATTCCTCAAAATATAGAGCAAGTTTATGAAAAGAGACATCCGGGACCAAGAGCCAAGCCAGTCTGTACAAGCGAGCATTCATATATCTCTTATTTGTCTATCTTAACCCCGCCCCCGCCCCCACGATGTCCCAAAATATAGTTCATGCAATTGATAGGCCCTTCTTAATTACACAGAGTAATGATATTTTGTCAAGGTACAGTGACCATAAACACTATCCAAGTGAAGTGGTAAGTTTATAATTCTAACGTGCACCCTTTGTTTTACAATATATAGACGGGGGATGAATTCAGAATTTGGAGTTTACCAAGTCACTCAAACAATGTTTTAGACACTATAATCAGACAAAATATCATTTATAAACTTCCAAAATCAAACTTACATTGTGTCACTTCTGAGTAGAGTTCTCATTTTCCTGATACGATCAGAATACGTACCCACTTGAACATCGCCATCCTCAGAATTTCTTACAGATATCTGACTATTTAGTTTCACGGAGGCCGACCTTGCAAAAGCTGCCTCATTTTTTGCTAATCCACTCGAGCCAGTGTTTTTAGGATCATCCAAGTCTAAGTAAATATTGTCAAAATGAGCTTCCAGACCAAAATTGGCTATTGGAGATTGTAGGCCAGAAGCAGAAACCAAATTGTCTACTGGGTGCAGAACCCAAGTCATCCAATCGTTACGCTTCCTTATTTTATCGCCCTACATCAGCAGTATGTGCTAGAGATGGAAAATTCATGCACTAAATGGTATAATAGAAAACTGAAAACCGAGAAGGAATGGTGCGTGTGAAGGGAGAAAAAAATTGGTAAATTTACATACATACCAGAAAATTCCTTGGTATTTACATATTGAACACCTAAAATTTGATATTTAAATTTATAATAATTCGGTGTCCTGAACTTATTCTTGAAAAGTTGTACTTCACCTTTAAAAAGTTAGTAGTATTGGTATTTTTGATGTGATATAAAAGATTAGAGTGTTATGTATGAAAATATGAATGTTAGATATGTAAATACATAAGAATCGTGTGGTATGTATGTAAATGCCCTAAAAAAGTTTGAAGCCCATGTGAGCAGATTCACACCATTTCTTATACGCACCTGTACCTCCACTACATTTGATAGCAGTACAGTGTCTAATATGTATGGTATATTGTTAGTCAATTGCTTCACCTGCTCGACATGGCAAGAGAAAAATATTGCAGGTTTAGTTAGCATATGCGTGAATGAAGTTAAAAAAACAATTAAATTACCATGGATAGTCCAAAAAAAAATATATAAACGGTGAAAAAAGAGAGCACACCAAGAATGCATTTACATGCACATAGCACACAAATCTTATGTAATATCGCACACCCAAACTTTCATATTTATATACATAGTACTCAAATATTTAATATAACAGTAAAAATAGCACTATTACTATATTTTAAAAGTTAAATCCACCATTTCATACATAGGTATAGGTTTAAAACAATAAAGTGTTATGTATGCAAATATGAATGTTTAGGTGTGAGACATGTAAATACATAAGATTTGTGTGCTACGTAAGTTAAAATTAAAAAACAATCTCATATTCTCACTAGTGATTCATAACACCTTTAATAGGCGATAGAATTATGAATTTTATTACACCGGTCCCTCTTAGACTGGCTTGGACCCGCTCGGCCCAGCCAAACCAGCAGTTGGCCAAACCTAGGGGGGCAGAAAGCACAGTTTCCACCTAGGAGGATTCCAGCCCCTGAGTGGGGCCCGTTAATCCCCTTATCACAAATGAGATGAGAGGAACTAGGGGGTTTTTTTGGGGGGAAATTTAAATTTGTTTTGGGTTATTTTATTAGGCCTAATCACCTTGGGTTTGTTTTTCATGTTTGGATTTTTGCATATTTCTTTTTGTCTTTTGTTCCTAGCGGGTCTAGATATTGTGGAGAGTCGATCTACCTCTCGGTTAGAGATCAACTATTGTATCTTGTTTATTTGCTTCGAGATTAATCAAATTAGCTCTGAATTGGGTTTTCTCAAATATTTATTACAATTTGTTCGCTAATTTTGGCTTTGATTTGTATCAAATGCATCATTACAATGCATAGCCTTTACAAGTGAAATAAGACAAATAATGTATTAAACAAAAATGTCACACCGAAGCACTTAAAAATCAAAAAAGAAATTGCTTCATTCAAGATGACACCGAACATGGAAAACAATATAAAAAAAACAGGGACATATGACAACTATAAAACAATCCGGTAAATTCATCGCAAATGACAGTAACTTCAGATCTGAAGGGAAAAGTAATCATTAGGGTTTTGTATAACATAATAGACAAAAATGATAAATTATGCTGGTAGGAAAGCATGGATCAAATTTCATAGGTTAATTTAAAAAATAATCCAGAAAAAATATCCTAGATGTGAAAATTAAAATAAGAAGCCTGAAAACCATTGGCTTAGTTAAGAACAAAAGAGGATTTGAGCTTTCTCAAAGCATATAGACTTCACTTGCATGGAGTTTTGCTTCCATTTTTTTTTCATTTTCTTCAGGAAGATTTGCCACATTAATATAAATCATCTTGGGCTCTAGATTTTCTTAATGTAAATTTAAGATGAGAAACAAAATAACACACGACCAAAACTTGTAGCTCACAAAGTTTTAATTTAAATACTAAATCGTCTCGTTTGAATGATAACAAAAAACATGTAAATTTTACCCAAATAATACTATGGCATTAAAATTTAAGACAAATGAAAAACACCTGTCAATCAAAAACTCACACTACAACAACAACAATCCTTTATCCCACAAGTGGCATTGGCTACAATAATCCTTCTTCGCTCCAATGTTTCCTCCTAAATCTCATATTTTTAGTTAATTCTAATAAACTAAGATTATTATTTATACAACATACTCAACTATTTTTAGGTTTACCTCTATCTTTCTTAACAAAAATCAAATCTAAAACATCCATTCTCCTAACTAGGTAATCAGAAGGTCGATGTTTTATGTGACCAAACCATCTAAAGGTTATTCTCTAATCTTGTCAATCGCTTGAGCTACTCTAACATCTTCACGGATATATTTATTTCACATTTTGTCTGTAATTATAAAGCCACTCATCCACCTGAGCATTCTCATCTCAGCAACACTCAACTTAATTTTCAGTTTCTTTTTTATAGGCCAACATTTTGTGCCATAAAGCATTGCAGTTTTCACCTCCATCTTATAAAATTTTCCTTAGGGTTTAAGCGTTACTTTTCTATTACACAATAGGTCCGTTGCATTCCTCCACTTCAGCCATCAAACTTAAATCCCACTGATAACATCCCCAACTATATCATCATCACTTTGAACAATAGATCTAAGATATCTAAAATGTTCACTCTTTGAACAATAGATCCAAGATATCTAAAATGTTCACTACATTTAATAACTTGATCGCTCATTATTACAGCCTCGCAACAAGATTTACTATTACTAAAATTACATTCCATGTATTTAGTTGTAGATCTACTCAAACTAAGGTCTTTAGACTCTAAAGTTGGCCTTCATACTCAAGTTATTCCTAATATCCACAAGAGCAAAAGACATATACCAAGGGACATTCTTCTGGAAATCTCGAGTAAGAACATTCATAACTGAAGCAAAAAGGATATGGACTTAAAGCCAATATCTGATGTAATCTGCCTGAAATAGGAAAATACTTGGTCAATCCTCCTTGTATTTGAACACAAGTAACAACTCTAGTATACATATATTTAATTATTTGAATATAAGCAATATCAACACCTTTCTTTTCTAAAACTCTCCAAAATACTTCTCTTGGAACCTTACCATAAGCTTTTTCTACAATAAAGAAAGAAAAAACAATAAAAAGTCTTTATCCCACTAAGTGGGGTCGGCTATATGAATCCATTTTCTCCATTTTGTCCTATTGAGTGTCATATTTTCATTTAATTCTAATAAATTAAGATCATTTTTTATCCAACATGGCCAAGCCTTTTTAGGTATACCTCTATCTTTCTTAACATAAGTCAAATTGAAAACATTTATTCTCCCAACTGAATCATTAGTTGGTCGACGTTTAATATGACCAAACTATCTAAGATGACTCTCTCTAATCTTTTGTGCCACTAGAGCTACACCAACCCTTTCCCTTTCACGGATATATTTGTTCACGGATATATTTGTTTCGCATTTTGTCTGTAAGTGTAAAGTCACTCATCCACTTAAGGAGTCTCATCTCAGCAACACTTACTTTTATACTTCTCTTTTATAGGCCACTATTTGCACCATAAAACATTGATTTTTCTGTAAGTCTAGTCGTACTTTCTATCACACAATAAGTTTGATGCCTTCCTCCACCTCAACCATCTAATTTGAATTTTACTAATAACATCCCCATCTAAATCATCATCACTTTGAACAATGGACTTGAGATATCTAAAACAATCACTTATTTTAATGATTTGATCGCCCCTTTTTACAACTCAGCCACTAGATCAACTATACTAAAATTACATTCCATTTATTCAATTTTAAATGTACTCAAACAAAAGCCTTTAGACTCTAAAGTTGACCTCTATAATTCAAGTTTTCATGAACTTTTTCTCTAGTCTTATCCGTGAAGAATAGCATCAGTGAAAAGCATACACCAAGGTACATCCTCCTGTAAATGTCCAATAAGAGCATCCATAACTAAAGCAAAAGGATATGGGATTAAAGTCCATCCATGATGTAATCCAACTGAAACAGGAAAATATTTGGTCATATTTAATGACTTGAATATAAGTCATATCAACACCTTTCTTTTTCTAAAACTCTACAAAGAACTTCTCTTGAAACCTTATCATAAGCTTTTCTAAATCGATAAAAATCATATGAGATCCTTCTTACTCTCTTTGTATTTCTCTATTAATCCTCTCAATAAATGTACAGCTTCCAGAGTAAACTTGTCTGCATGAATCCAAACTGATTTTGAGAAATTTTTTTATCACATCTTAACCTATGCTAAATTACTCTCTCATAACTTTAATGTACACACTCTTATGCATCTTTTTTATTCCTAAAAAAAACCAATAGACACTCTCTTCACTCATCAAGCAAATTTTAATTTTTTTAAAAATAATATTAAAAAGTTCAGTGAGCTAAGATTTGAAAATATTAAATAACTCAAGCAAATCAATCAATAACTTCTGGAAAAAAAAAACAAAATAAGAAAGAAGTGGCCTAATACCAATCCAAGCTTTAATTTGGTATAAAAAATAACTCCTAAAATTTGTAGATGCCACTGATACCACATTAGAAAGACATCCAAATAGCACTCAGACTTGAAAAAAACAAAAAATACAAAAAAACTTAAAGCACAACTAAAATTCAAAAATTTATGCATACATGCCTCAAACTTTCCCATATGTATAATCATAAAAATCTCACTTCAAATAAATATAACAAATAACAATCAGTCAATAACAAAGATAACAAGAACTCCATGCCCAATAAATGATTTCATCTATAACATGTGTACTTTACAACATCACAATCCACAAATTCAAACCAACCCAATTCAATAAACAATAAATTTACCCATGAATCATAGCCATAATCACTTTTCCTAAGGAGTCATTTAGGATTGATTTTTTTTTTTAACTTATAGTACTTTTTCTCTTATATTTTAATATGAAATAAAAATATGTATGCATCTTTAAATTATTATTATTATTATTATTGTTGTTGTTGAACTAAAGTAAGATATTTATTTGTGTATTGGAACCTCTTCACTTTAGATTTGGGCAATCTGCTAATGGAAATGGATGATCTTCACTAGCTATAGCATCAGCTTGTACCAATATTTAGAAAGACAAAATCGAAACCGAAGAGATTTGGCTTTAGCAATGGGAGGCCTAGGCCCGAAGGTGGATCGAGACATAAGTCTACAAATAGAAAAATAAAAAACCCATCGCTTGAATAATGACTCATAAATTCTCATATCATAACCAAAAAAATTATCATGAAAGCATATGTACATAGCTCAAACTAAAATAATAAAAATAATATATAATAAAATTTTACATGCAAATAGAAAATGAAAGCACCCTGAGAAGAATATAATAACCAAATGTACAAAAAATCATAAAAAACAATAAGCTATATTTTAGCATAAGAATGACAATAAGACG